ATATAGATAAGAGCACCCAATCTATAGGAATTGTTTGTGCTACTGTTTAGTGTTTCTCACTCCTCAATCAAGTTGGAGTACGACAGACGCTTCCGGAAGAACAAAGTCAAAAACGAAGTTAAAAATTTGGGGAAGGATTTCATTACCGAAAAATGCACGTGTTTGTCCTCATTTTTCTGATGGACACTTGCGTTCTTCAGACTTTTTTTTTCAAAAGCCTTACCACTTTTATTCAAAGGAATTGGAGACATTCGATTTCTTCATTATAGTACATTTTACGTTTTTTTAATCACTTGCTTGCGTTTTGCTAGTGACGCTAGCTATTCCAACAAGTGTGATAGACGCACATTACACTGTGGATATTCGATTACAAAATGTGGGAGAGATTAGTGCTTAGCAGCCATTCAATATTGTGTCTTGCACTGCTGCACTATTACGTTTCATACGAACTTCAGTGTGGCCTTCATACGACAACGGCTCGCTTCTCTTGACCCATGCCCCACCAAACACCGTGACCCGAGCCCTCGGTAGCTCTTCAGGTGACCCGAATTTGCTGACAGGCCGCTACACATATAGACATAGCGCTTTATGTGTGCTAGGGATCGTTTTGCCTACCGTGCCGAAAAGTAACATTTTATGTAGGAAGGTTATGAATTGTTGCTTCCCTTCACCAGAAGGTGGTCGATAAAGTTGCTCTGGACGTCTTTGAAGTCTTAGGCGACGTAAGATTGCTTAGTCGTTGCTCCCTCCGCTATCCTGAAATCATCGACATGATTTATCGCAAAAGGAAGATTTTTTCAAGGGCACTTCAGTTTTAATTCCACTCATTTAGTTTTTCTATGTGGAATTTTTGTTAGTCTGCCACATTTGGTACATGCTACTTGTTTATGGGAGATGACTTTATTAATGATTTATTTTGTTTATCTTGATATTTGTCGATAACAATTGATAATTGGTGATCTTTGTCAATTTTTATTGTTTAGCTGTGTTCGCTTCTGGAAAAAATAGTTGTTGCAAATGTGGTCATTTTCTAGAACTTTGAGTCATTCATTTCTGCTAACCAAAGCCTCATTGTTCAGGTCTTGCGATTCATTGCGAAACGTGTCGGCAATCCGAACCGTAAGCCCCGAGATGGCCGACTGCCACCAGCCACTCCTGAGGAAATCCAGCAGACGCTGGAGAAGTTTAACGGCTCTTCATCGTAATCTGCGGCCGTTATTAGCATCTTCTTACTGAACAATTCTACCTTTACGCGATTACGGTAATCAATCGCGCTGATTGTCCACGATGGCTATCAGAACCGCGTAAACTCGGCTTTATCTCGACGACGACGACATTCGTCCGCTACCGCTCTGCATTTTATTTGTGTTGACATCATCCAGCGCGATGACGAGTGGGTCTCAGTCGTACCAATTAGGCAATGATTAACGGACGACGTATTCGTGTCGTAGTTTCTAGCATATATTCTTGCGTTTTTATTCTAATTTTCATGTATGTATTTGTTACGACGTTCATTGGGCCTAAGACATAATATCGCACGTGATTTCTTATTTATCGCCTTACTTCTTCCCTCGTAAGCTGAAGCCGTCTTCCCTGCTGCTTTTTTGTTGGTATGTTGTTTTCTCAAAGGAGCTTCGTGCGCAACGTACATGTTTTGTTATTTTGTTGTTACTACGTCAATGTACATTACCGAATTACGCATATAGAATACGATGAAGGAATTGTAATAATAAAATTATTGCCGCCTATGCAGCAGTACTTGGGAGTGATGGCGCGAAACCCGGGTACCCCCAGGAGGCCCGTCGCGCGACGAAGTCAGAGACGCAGGCGCGGCAGAGGACGAGTCGCACCGCATACTGTAGCGGTTAGGCGTCAAGTTCAATATAACGCATTACAGTACGTCCCACACCATTCACTCCACGGCGTGGGCTCAAAAATGCGATATCTGCTTAGTCACGCCGCTTATGCTTGTTTTCTTTGTACTAATACATCCCTCCAGACTCATTACCCCCCCCCTGCTCCTTTCTCCTCCTGGGATGAATCCATATGTAACTTAGCTTATGTGAAAATTTAAGCAGAAGATAGCTCAAGGGAACAATCCGGATTTTTCGAGATAAGCACTACATATATATAATAGTTCACTCCTAAAAAGGCACATTTAAGAAGAAAATCTGGTTAGCTTAGCTGGCTGAAAAAACGGTTTGAGCGGTTATTTTAACATGCACGACAACAATAATTTTCGTGGAAGGAAAAATGCAAGTGACATAATAAAAAGGAATCGGGGGGGGGGAACTGAGTCTGGAGGGAAGTAACTAGCACAAAGTAAACAAGCACAAGCGATGTGACTAAGCAAGGTATATCGCATTTTTGAGTTCACGCGTGAGTAAGCGTGTCTACGAGTGACGTTTAATCACAACAGCACGTTGGGTACGGCTGTCCTCGCGCGCCTTGCGTCTCGACTTCTTTGCGCGGACAGCCTCCTCGGGAGGCCTAATCCTAAACTTCATCGGTGCATCCACCAGTCATTCGATTCGAAATCTGTGAAGTTGTTAAGGGAGTCGTCAGAATGCTTTTGCCTGGACAATCTGCACATAGCCTTTTAGCTCCTATGCGATCACTCCACCAAGTCACTAGAGCAGCTTCGGCTCGTAAGGTAAACAAGAAGAGAACCGCAAAGCCTAACCAGAACGGTCGCCAGGCCGTGCTTCTCTAAAACGGTTTTTTGCATGATATAGGGACAGATGCAAGAACCAGAGAGCTTCTTTCTCAATAGCCGCGTGAATCTTCAAAAAAGCGGTGTTGAGCATGGTCGCCTGTTCCGACTTTTTTCGTTTTAACGAGACTGACTTGAAGTATTCGACTTTCGCTCCAAATGCGTCGATGCCTAAGAATGAAGTACTCATGACTTCGCTGTCACAGTGCCAGGAGAACGCCTGGAAGCGTTTCTGATCGCGCTGAGAATTGAATACCAACAGAAGCACAAGTAGGTTGACGGTCACTACGGAGCTCGCCCTCTTACACCGTGTGGATTTATCTAGCGGAGCCGAGCAAACGTCAACGGAGCTTGAGCAAAAACTGGAGGTACGATCCCCTTCCGCACGTAACGTTTTCGGCGTCATTACTATCGTTGAAGACCCGTGGTATGATCACATACCACACTGTTTCGGCCGCGTGAGACCGTGTGATATAATGCTATGTCACAATTTGTTAATGGTTTTCAAAGTTTTCAAGGAATTTTTTGTAACGTGCACGCTATATTTGGACATCACAAAAGGTGTGGTACATACGAAGATAATGCTGCTAATATTTGCTGCAGCGGGTGCGGGCACTTTTGGCAGAAGGCAAAGCATATGCTCTCTTAACATTCTTGCCCATATGTAGAAATTTTGTACGGCATCGTAAACCAGAAGATTCCCTCCATACGAGGTTTTTTGCATTGGCTTCATTTGTTCACTACAAAAAATGGTTACGCTGAGGACTTTTGCAAAAATAACGAGGGAATTCCCGAAAGGCGCTAATTTCTACACTTTCAATGGCCGTAACTTACACAAAATGCATCGATTTGGGAAAATTAGTGTACAAATACGAGAACCACTTCGGAATACGTAGGCTTTCTTCGTCTACTACGTGCTAAAGTGGTGGAATGATTATAGCTTCATGGTTCTTTTTTGAACTTGGAGTTGAAAATTTTCTAGCTGTGCAGTGGATGCCTTCCTGTCACTTTGAACAACCACTTCTGAGAAAGGGTGATGCCTTTCAAATTCACGTCTTCACTGCAGGAAGCGGGAACTGAAGCACATGGCAGGTCAGATCAGCTCAGGTATGCGCCCTGCACTCGACTATCAGATAAGAGGCCGTCCCTTCATCCGGAGCCGTCAATACTTACGCAGCATAGCAAGAATGGCTATACATATTTATACTGTATAAAAAGAATACAAGAAATGTGGGAAGAGGGAAGGGAGTGGGTGGCGTTCAAGGACTGGCGACAACTTTGTTATTAGTTGACCTCTGATCAGGGTGAATAAAGGTCGAGGAAATCCTCGACAGGGGGTCGTATTTGATCCGATGGGAGTTGGGGGGGGGTCGTAAGCGCAAGGTTAATCAACGGACACACGGTGCTGCTGCCGCTCACTGTCATCACTTATGTCATAAGTTCAAGTAAGAAGAAGCAACTGATATCTTAAAACTGTTAGGTGCTTCAAGAACTCAGAGGAGTGGGATATCAGTAGAAGGTTCAAAACGGGAAGTGCAGCCGCAAATGCGTGATTTATCGAAAGAGGGTTGGAAACGAACCGACGTGAATAAAGGGATGATCGGACTAGACTACAACCATAAGAGTTACTCTACTCAATTGAGACTAGAAAGATTTGGTTTGCACAAGCAGTTTGTTTTGTAGACGAAACACCTTTCAAATGATTCTGAGTAGGTCTCTGCACGGCGCATACCAAAACGTAACAGATTTGCGCCCAGTGTATCATTTCCTATTCACTCCATCGAGGTGATGTGTCCAGAAGCATTTTGAGTGTTCTCGAAGAAGTTCCTTGTTACGGTGAGGGAGAAGTAGAGTTTTCGAGTAGCTTCGAAAATTTCCTTGACATTTCCTCGACGCAGATTTCTCGCGAACTAGGAAGCATGCTGAAACAACTGGAGCACCTCTGAAAGCGTAATCTTCTACTTTACAACGCTTTCCTCCGATTTTGAAAGCATTGCCAATGAAGACAGCTACTGTCTTCCAAGAGTGGGAACTCGCATGTAAATTTCAATTTCCTCGACAATTCCTCGACGTCTTCCCACTCTCGAGAAAGAAGTGCTTAAAAAACGCTCAGCACAATTTGGAAACTAGAAGTCTGTGCATTCAGAAAGCTGCCTTCACTTTTTGAAATACTTATCATTGCGGAAAGTTATAGTCCATCAAAAGAGGGTAGATTTGGCGATTTTTCCAACTAACGCGCTCCAATCGAAAGGCGCGCGCGACGTTGATTGGACAGTAGTACCGATATGTTTCTGACTTCTGCTTTCTAATTCCTGTTTTTCCTTTGCTTTCTCGTCTACCACAGGTTAACCCTCCTCGGGCTGTGATCCAGAAGATATTTTTGATTTTGACCGTTCGATTTATTTAGGACTCTTTTTGCTGCAATGGGCAAGTTAAAACTCATCATAGGAATGTCGAATAATGAGCAAAACTCCGCCTCTATCGGAACTTGAACCTGGAAAGCCAGTACTGACGTTTTGATATGAAACCGGTTGTGTGGAGAAGGGGTCGTATCGGAGCCCAGGTAAAGGGGGAGGGGGTCGTAAAGACGCGGTCATTTCCACGACGATTTTCACCCTTCCTCTGTTTATTTGTGTTTCATGGGAGGGACGCTCTTCATCGAAACCACGTCGCCGACATCTCCATTCCCTAGAGAGATCGAGTCTTTAGCACAAGATTGAGGAGCACAATGGGAACGACTTTGATGTTAAATGTTCTGTGTTAGCGTACGAGACTGAGATTTCATCCAGAAAAGCTTTGGAATCATTCTGGATTTTCGCAAGGAAACCTAGAATGAACGGCCGAAACGAATGTCCGTCGATTACGAATGAGCTCTTGCCTTTTGTTTCAAAGTGCGAGCTATCAGTGCGACGTGCAAATTGACAGATTTGACAATATATGACGACAAGTTGAGAGTTGAGTCTTCATCGAGTGCTCAGTAGTATTCTCGACGTTCTCTGACGTCGAGAATACTGTAAGCGGTTGATCGAGTAGCTAACGAATCAAAAGCTTCAGACAATCTCCAGGCCTCTGAAGAAGACGAAGCGGTCGAAACGTCAGGCCAGTAATAAAGATTCCATCTTAAAAACCTCGTTCGGCATACAGTACAAAAACAATTGCAGCACCTAAGAATTCTGTTTATTGAAGGCGAAAGTCGGGCTCAATTACGGGGGTATTATGGCGATTGAAACTGAGTATAGAGATCTGGTCAGAACGACAGTGGAGAAAAACTGAGAAAAACCGTCGACAAGGCCGTTAACAAAACCCTCTTTCCCACTAGCAATGAAGGAGGCTGTCTTGGGAAGAGGCACGTACAAACAAGTTTTCTGAAGATATCAGTCGTTCTATCGGTTGATACGGCAATCAACCTAGCTGATTTCACACGTTATGCCAGCCATGCACCACATCCCAAGGTGGGCGGTCGTAGCGGGGCCAGGCGGCGATAGCGCATAGTACATGCCCTGGGGCCTTATTACTGCGCCGTTTCGGGTTTTGAGTGTGGGAACATCTCTATCGGGTGCGTAACCCTAAGAGTTTAAGGGGTTGTTTGGTCCAACCAATTCCTGACATTTCCTTGAGGAAACATGCAAGGAGAATATTATCTGTCTCCATAGTCACAATTGCCGGCTGAAATGCTTGCGTTGTTTTTTTCTTGAAACGACGATATGGTCGTATTATAGGTTACTCGTTGGCTGCTGATGTATCCATTATTTTGTAAACATGATTTTGATTTATTTGGAGTGCACTAGGCGGCAAGGAATCGTAGAATGAATTTATTTTCAGTGTACTATCATACTCGTCGCGTTATGAGCGACTCTCAAGTTTGTCTGATATTTGCTAACATTTTAGAATCGTGTTATTTTTCCAACCGTGAAAAGGCTTCCACTTGATGTTGTAAGCCTATGAGAACGTGGCCGTCATGCAAAAGAACTGAGCCGACAAGTGGAATAGTCGCTCCATGTAATAGGACATCTTTCAGTGTACTAATAAAAGTAAATTAGATTATATTACGGTCGCATGTGCTGCAGTTAATGCGAAAGCTATTGGTTCAGCTGAGACGATCAGAGCTGGGCTTCCGAGCAGTAAGCTGTCAAGCAATCAATAATCGTATTGACCTGTCTTTCCTCATGCCCAATAACCTTATGGTTATAAGCATTAGTAAATCCATTATCAATTTCTAGCGCTTGATCAATTTTGAAGCTCAAACCTCGCTAGTGTAATTCGAGCCACAGTCCAAAGCTCTTTTTCTCGAAATGTCATGCTCAAGCCACATAACTATTCAGGGCTGTGATCACTGATTCTGGGTTGGTCCGCTCGGCGAAGGTACGTTCAAAACTTAAGGCACAGACTGTTGTCAAAATAGGTCTACTCCCATCTTCACATTGGTGCGATGCTCCCACTCTAATTTTAGGTCTGGTATAGTTCCCACTCTTTAACTGTTGAGTGATTTGAAAGCATCTTTGATCTTTGGCAGTGAGAGGAGTTGCAGCCTACGTTACAATATCTTGCTCAACATTGTGCCAAAGGTGCTGTTCTTGTACTGTTTTGTCCACGTCGGCTCCCTCGGACTAGTAGTATCTCGATAGAAAGACTCGGATGGGTGCTGTGCGGTCACTCACCGTCACCATATCTACAATTTATCTATATCTGGGACATCCTAAAGATGAGCAAGATTCAAGCAGAGAGACTGAAAACATATGTAATTGAAGATATTTTGGTCTAGAAACTATGGCTAGTTCTGAAACGAAGACGGTGGATCACGCACTAATGAATTGATAAAATCGATATACGCAGCACAAGAGATAGTCAACGGTTCTGAACTCATTACTAATTTGGAACGTAGACCATTCTCATCTGGTCGGTAATTAAGCCTCACTTCAACGACTCGAAATTCAAGACGAAAAACTGCGTCTTAACACTACTTGTTACACTACTGTAGGGAGAGTATTGGAAAATTTTCGAACAACAACTCTACTAACCATAAGGCATGATAGAGGATCTCGAAGGAAGCACCAGCCAACAAAAGGTTATATTACATCCCATATCAGGCTGTCATCAAGGAAGACACCTACAGCTACTACGTATAGCCTTCAATACCTCAAGTCATGCGAGAGGCTTACCTAGCCTTGACGATTACATTCATCAAGAATCATCCTATACTACTCGCTATAAAGCACTTCGCCTGTCGCTTGTTTGTCGTCTGTCGTTCTGTACTCTGTCACGAAATTCCCTAGCTCCTCGGGATCCGCCTGGAGGGACCGGGTCAAGTGTGGGATGGGTGGGCAAGGTCTCACGAATACAAAACACACATCAGCTAAGCGGAGCCCGCCCACAGAGGGCGTGGCGTGCGTCGAAATGAACTGTACTAACGACCGAGGTTTTAAATTCTATTGCAAAACAGCTCAAAACTGGGGAAAAAGTAGGTAAAGGTGTGCATTGGTAAGCCAGATCAAAATGTGGAGACCGCCTTATTTCACTGCTTGAGAACAAATAAGCTATAGTTAGAAAGTCTGAGCCTCGGTGATCCACGCCTCTATCTTCCGAAGCAGCTGAATCACAGGAATAAAGGTTTCAAACAGGAGTCAAGCAACTGCAGAGATGCCATGTTGTTCAGATAAGGTAATATAAAAGGATCCTCATGATCCATTGAATTTGTAGCCACAGTTTATAGTTCAACAGATGATGCAGTCTGGTCCATTACTCCAAATGTGGGTGTATAAAAAACTCAACATGTCAGCCTCGCTCCGCTAGAATTACTGTTAAAAACGAACGCTTTCCAAACAAATTGCAAACGAGCGAGTATCACACAAAAAAAACTAGGAATACACACGTCAAGAGCGGCTGCAATAATAGAACAGTAACTTACACAACAACTGGATCACTACTAACCCTAACATAATTTTCATGCAAAAACAAACACAAGCATTTCAACCTACTTAATAGAAGAGAAAAAACTGTTCTCATGGTTGTTCATGGTCACAAACAGCACAACAGTAATAGGTCACGAGTAGATCTAATCGATTAGCTGGCGGTTGCTTATCAGCCCAACGAAATCCTATTTTTGGGTTTCCATTGTAAGGTCATTGGTTTTCTCTCGTTATTTCCTAACCAGTTTTTGGCTCCGCCGTACGCGCGCATTACGCGGTAAGCTTGAGCAATGCAGAGTAAGACAGTTGAACACTTAACACTCGTTCTCTTCAAACTATGCTCATACTCGTTAATATCCAATCCGTTCACCGAACACCTTCCCTTCGAAGTAAGAATTTACGAACAGTAACCCGAAGCTCTGCAATTTGGAAAACCCTATTATTTCAGTGGTGACAACCTCATTGCCACCACTGAAATAATAGGGTTTTCCAATAATAATAGGTTGAAATGATTATGTGAAAGTCCTGCACTTTTTTGTGAGTTTCGATCCCAATGCAATCTTTCAAATGCGTATCATGTTTCAAGAAGCGCTCTGAATTTGTGATCGTACTCGTGTTTTGAGAAGCGCTCTAAATTTGCAATCGCTCGAAGTGAATTTTCCGGTGATGACCACGAATAAGTTTGATGAAGGAGTCGAATAGGAAACCGATCTTTAACATCCTCCGATGATCAGCTCCTTGTCGTTTGTTCTTCTACTATACAGGGAATAGATGAGCAACATGCAATGCCAACAATAGTTTCAAAAAATTCATTACATCAAAACTTCAGTATAAACAATGTTTTTCAAAGAGGTGGATGAAGATTCAATCTTAATCCCTTCGGGTGTTTTAGCTCTAGATAGGGCCACGTAGAGCTGCCCGTGAGAGAACACTTCTTCCGGAAGATAAATACCGACTTTACTGAATGATTGACCCTGCGCTTTGTTGATGGTCATTGCAAAAGCAACACGAATAGGAATTGCCGTCGTCGCAAACGGAAAGGCGTCCTCTTCTCCCAGTAGTTGTCAATCCTAGGTATGACTGCTAGTTGACCACTGCGTTCTCCACTTGAAAAATCGGCACGCTAGAGTATACCGACCCATTCTTTCGATAATGAGTCTCGTCCCATTGCAGAGTCCGTTAGCCACATCGAGGTTTCGTAACAGCATAACTATGGCGCCCCTTTTCAAACGCAACTCATGTGGTGGCATACCAGTTGGTGTTAGTGTATTTAAGTACTCCATGGAGAAGAGCTGCTCATTCTGCCTTCACTATAGATGGCTTCGTCTATGCTTCTGTAACACCGCTCATCCTCTGGGTTTGGAACGCGGAGACGATCTAAGGCTTGCTCGTTCAAGTGTTGAACGTGAATGTTTTTTGGTGCTAATATAGCGCATTCACATAGTTGTGATGGGTTATCGGGATCAAGAACAGCACCAAAAATTTCGTTGACGATGCCTGTCGTACACAGCATTGAGGATGGCACTGAAACTTTATCATCGGAGTCGTTCGCGTCCCCACTGCCGATTTCTAAGAGACGCGTGTGCCAGCCACTTCCTTCCAGCCTGAACCCTCATGTTAGTATTCAGTCGATGAATGGTGAACAGAGGCCAAAGGGATGAGTTACGCACGCACGCCTCGATAATGTCCTCACGTCGACCATTTTCAACTACAGGTAAGATTTGCCTGAAGTCGCCACCCAAATCCACAACTTTTCCACCAAAAGGTGTGCTGAGTTGCGTTACGTCCCTCATGAGAGCGTCGACGGCTTCCAGAGCGACCTTTGGGGTCATGGATATCTCGTCCCAAATGATTAAGTCTGTGGCCGTGAGTTGTTGGGCCTCTGTTGTTGGCGCCTCATTGTGG